CGCAAAACGGAGCGAACAGACGGCGAAACGATGGCACATACACAACAATTTAGACAGGTTGCTATTAGATTCAACTTTGTAGAGGGATATTTGGTAAACCAAATTCTCACCCAAGTTGGTCAACAATGTCAGCAAAGCGTCATAGGAGAATAGGAGAAACAGCTGGAACTAAAAGTGAGACTTGTCCAAATTGCCAACAGAGTCAGAACAGCCCCATACCAGCACGAATCCATCCATAGGAGTTTCCTGCAGTAGAATTCATTATGAATACCCTACCTTTGATGATGAGAACATTTGGCTTAAAGCTATCCATGTGAAAAGAGCAAACGCCATTAACACATGCCCTTACACATTGTTTGCAGCTCACAGATTACCGGGGTTACCGATAATGATACTCATTTTGGTATCAGAAAAACACTCCTAGTTGAAAAGCACTAACAGCATCCGTCACATCTACAAGTCACCCAAGCACCCATCTAGTATTGGTCTTCCTGACAGAGGTGTACAGACAGTGAAATTCGGGATGAAAAACTAAACATGGACATGGCTTTGAATCTAAGTGTGACCAGCTATCAAGAATTATCTGTCACATTAGAAGTTTTTGTTTTAAAAAAGAGTCAAAAATAGGCCGGTCGATTTGCTTCTTTGCTGCTCAGATGATGCTTTGTATCACTAATCTACTAACAAAACTAAAGTAACTATAAATCTGTAAGTAACTTAACAGATTTGTGGAACACACAAGGTAATAGTTTGGAAGCAACTAGATATAAAGGCAAGCCTGACCCGTATATATGTATGTATATATATATATATATATATATATATATATATATATAGTGATTAAAACAATTGAATGTAGTAGTAAGATCGAATTAATTAATTTGAAACAGTAATATCAGAATGAAACGATTTAATGTAATCCACTGTGCAATGAAACATGAGTCTATGGACGACATAGGTAGAATAGAATAGTTCCAGTGTATAAAAAAGGTGATAGACATTTATTTTCTAACTATAGACCCATTACCTTATTACCCTGCTTCTCAAAGATCTTAGAGAAAATCATGTATAACCGTATAGCTAATCATATAAAATAAGAATACTTTATTAACTAATGCCCAATATGGTTTCAGATCAAATCATTCGTGTGAGCTTGCTCTGATTGATCTACATGATGTACTATTAAATTATATTCATAATAATTTTCATTAACTTGGTATTTTCCTTGACCTATCAAAGGCATTCGATCTGATTGACCATAATATTCTTTTGTATAAGTTACCGTATTTTGGAATTCGTGGTGTAGCGTTAGACTGGTTTAATAGTTATTTACAGAATAGGTCCCAATAAACAAGGTATAATAATTTTGATTCATCTCTTTCCAAGGTTAAATGCAGAATTCCACAGGGATCCATACTCAGTCCCTTGTTATTTTTGCTGTACATTAATGATTTGTGTAATGTTACTTCATTTTTCATTTCGTTTTATTTGCTGATGATACCAATATCATTTCCTCACATAAAGACTTTAATACGCTCCTACATAAGACTAACGAAGAGTTAGGCAAAATAGTTGACTGGTTTGATTCCAATAAGTTATAGTAATTAATCATGACAAAACATGTATTTTGTATTTCTCTAAACCTAATATTAAATTTCTTCCTCATACAATCAAAGTGAAAATCAATGATATATACTTGAATGTTTCTGACTCCGTGAAATTTCTTGGAGTTTTATTGGACAATCAACTTACTTTTCAAAACCATCGTATTTACATACTAAAAAAGATATCCATATTATTATTATTATTATTATTATTATTATTATTATTATTATTATTATTATTATTATTATTATTATTATTATCTAAAAATATCGGAATTATCTGTAAATTGCGTTCTATTCTACCCAAAAAACATTTATTCATGCTGTATAATTCACTTATACATCCTTTTATCCATTATTGTAACATTACCTGGGCCAACGTTGGGAAAAGCAAATTAGAACCATTTCATAAACTGCAGAAAAAAGCCTTACGCATTTGTACAAAGTCACCTTATTTAGCGCCATCTCGCCCCTCTTTTTTTTAATTAAAAACACTTAATTATCATATATATGAATTTAAAGTCGCAGTACTGATGTATTATGTCAAACATAAAATGGCCCCAGCCAATATAATTAATTTGTTTAACTTTAATAATGATTTTCATCAGTATTGCACACGTTCAGCTTCCCAACTTCACCTTCCATCAACTTCTAATAAGCAAATGTATAATTCTTTTAAACATGTAGGACCGAAGACTTTTAATAATTTAAATACAATCATTCGTCCATGTTCAACAGCCTCCTCCTTCAAAGCCTTACTTAAAAGTCACTATATTCATAAATATACTTCTTGATTTCCATATATCTTTTTCATAAGTTTACCTCATATATGTACACTGTACACTCTAAGAAAAAAAGGTTCGTTTCAGCACCTTTTAAGGGTGCACACATTTGCCACACCAGCAGCACCTTTAAAGGTGCTTGCGAGCACCTTTTCAAAATGGTGCTGCTGAGCACCCTTAAAAAGGGTGAATGTGTGCACCCTTTAAGGTTCCGGTGAGCACCCTTAAAAAGGTGAATGCAAGCACCCTAATAGGTGCTGTTGAGCACCCTTTAAAAGGGTGCTGACAAGCACCCTTATAAGAGGTGAATACCAGCACGTTACAGGGTACTTAATAAGCTTGATTAGACTTTCTCTCTCTCACCTCCACAGATTCACACTTTGGACAATTTTAACACACACAAATGCACCTCAACATAATTCTCCACACTCATAAGCTATGTCGAAGATGTTTATAGTTTTTCCACCATGTGTATTCATCTTATGTTGGGTCCTCCATAGTAACTTTGACCTTCACATCACTAGGAAAACAAACTAAAAGAACACTTGACATTTAGGTTAAGCGAATTATAATTGTGCAAAATGTACATACATATAATTCAATTTTTCAAAATAATCTTTAAAATGTACTGAAAATAAATGACAAAACAAATGTACATGTATTTTAGCACTTGTCTTAAATAGTAAGAAATGTTATACATCCAAAAGTAAGAGTACAAAACAGTTTGCATTAGTACCTTGATGCTGACTGAGATAAAGTGAAGATTGAGGCAATACATATGATTTATGAATAAACTTTGACGATGTATGCGTATATATAATTATATACCAAAACAAAACATTTTCTCCACACACTTCATCACTTGAAATTGTCTAAGTATACAACAAACAACATAAATAAAGCAAGTATTAGTGATGAAATTATACTCCTGATTTGCACTAATTTAAGGGAGGGTTGAGTTCTGGGAAGGGTCAGAAAGAAATTTGACCAAAGTAACATGACAGCATGAATAATTACACTATATTAGAAACCCTTTCAATTTTCAAAACAAACTAACCTAAAACTGTGCAAAACCCAGTATTTAGCCAGAAAATATGAAAAGATGGTGACACTTAAATTGACTTAATCTTTTCCTCCTTATTATGTTTTTTTATTTTTATTTTGAGAAAACACAACAGTTAACCAAAATTTTACATAAAATACAATTGATTGATGGTTCCTTGTGCAATTACAACATTGGTTGAAAGATGAATTGGGCATTTTACTGACCCTTCACAGAGCTCAACTTCCCCTTTAAGTTCAATTCTGCTGTAGTAAAAGGGGTAATTATTTAGAAAACATTTTCAAACAAATGTAGCCCTTTCAGCTAAATTTACGTTTAGAGCCATGTTCTTTCGACTTTGTACATGTATACATAACAATACAAATACTAAATAAAGCTGCATATATGACAATCGATTCTAACTAAAAGTTAATTAGGAGTACATCCAAACATTTTGTACTCACAATTTGCTGCATACTTGCATTGTACTGTATAACATGGAGATAACTGAGGCTATGTAAGTTGATATAAAGGTGAATCTTTCACAACACATTTATGGCAATGTTAAGCACACTTTTGGCAATGAATTCACACATACAACTTTGAGTTGCCTATTAGGTTAAGAGTTTGAACACTACTTTTACCTTCATCGTCATAAATGAAAGTGTTTTAATAATACACATGTTAACTAGATGCAGAATGTCATTAATGTCATTTGACCCCTTGGCGGCATTGATGTTTAGGAAAGCATTTTACAAAATGTATATCTAATTAGTTCAGCTAAACATTATTTTGAATCATCTATGCATGCACTTAGTTTTCACACTATTTACAAAATGCAAAAATCAAAATGAACTTGAGTACCTTTCAATACCTGTACATTCTCTAATAAATTAGTTTTAAGACACAAGCATTTGTAGTTTCAAACTTCAGCCTTGAAAATATATTGCCCGTGAACAAAATGTAGATAAGATATATATCATAATTAGAGTAACTTTAAAAAAAAAAAAAAAATCTTGTTTCTATGGGTCATTCTTTGAGAAACTACCGCATTTCACTTAAAATCTACTGAGTTCAAACTAGACAGTTATTGCAGATAATCAAAAATATAATCCATGGTACATATACATATATGTACCCTACAGGGAAATTCCACCCTAGGAATATGTTTGCATTGTAAGTAACACTGAAAAATAAGATTTAGAATCACTAGAGTCACAAGTTTCTTCACGTCTCATCGTGCAAGAAAGTAACAGACCCATCACTAGCTCCCACGCTGTAAATAGCCGCTGTGCGTTTTGCCATTTCCTCACAGAGCACCGGCTCAGTGACGTAATCCGAGAGCTGGTAATACCTGTGCAATGGCCAGGAGGACATATGGAGTGGGCGGAGTGAAGCCGTTGTCTGATGTTGCAACAACTGCTAAATAGTGATCAAGCTCAAACCTTGAGAATAAAACAGAAACACCTATTTGTGCTTTTGTATATTTTCTGTTTCATTCTTAAAAAAACTTGAGCTTGACCACTATTTAGCACTCGTTGAAGTGTCAGCAAACAGCTTCACTTCGCCTTCAATTTTCCTTTAATGTATCCATAATATTAAATTTCATAATGTATCTATATGTACATGTATATAATCATCAATTACAATATTACTTCCAAAATATTATGACCCATTTTTTTAAAAGGATCTAGTAACTGACAAAGGATTGATAAAATGTGTATTTCTATGGTCTGACGTGTCAAATGATGTTTGTAATACATGGGAATTGGTAAAGATAGGGTACTATAGATGCAATGACAAACCTTTCTCTATTTTTCTGATTGGCAGCCTGCTGTTTGATCCGAAACCGAAACAGGAAAGGGGCTTGCAGAAATCAAGGATTTTCTCCCCAGACTTCTAGATGACATTCTGAAGTGTTGGGGCTACCGCAAGCTGCTTATAAACTCTTTCAAGTTCTTTCACAAGCTGCAAACAAATTAAATGAAGCAGACAAAATAATGCAGTGATAATTTTAACGTAGAAATTCATTGTAAATTGAATTATAGTAAAAATAATGGAACTATATAGAGCTAACAAATGAATAATATATAAGTAATTAAGTCCAATATGATTAATTTCTCAGAGAATGTTTATGCAGTGGTAGTTTAACCCCCCCCCCCCAAAAAAAAAAAAGGTTCCCGACAGCTTTCAAAGCTCTCACTAGTTGTAGCCCTTATTGATTCTGGGAGGCATTTACAGTAAAGTAACTTCTTACTTCTTACTATACACCTCTCCTCGTAAAATGAAAATGGGCAGAAAATTAGAGCATTACCTGATTTTCCAACTTAAGGATGGGGGTATTCTGAAAGGATATCCCCACCAGAATTTCCTTGGATGAACAACATGCGATGCTGACGTGTTCTCTACATCTTGTCATTTATAGTCCCTATATCGGGGTTCCTTCTGGCTGCAGCAGCTTCATATCCGCGATATGCCGTTGATTGTGATTCCCTTCCATGTATCCTTTGAAAGCAAAGGGAGAGAAAAAGAAAAACATTCGAATGATTTAGAAACAGTATAATACGAGAATCATAATTCAATACAAGCAGCCTTGTAGAAAGTTATCTCATTTCCTTAAATAATTACAACCAAGACCAATGTTGTATCTTCAGGCCTATCTGCACTAGTTTGGCCAGGAGGAATTAGACCTCCCTGCGTGGTCACTGGCAGGTGGTTATCTCATCAAATCAGCTCTCAATTAACATAAGAATGCATGGGGGATCAACGGGTACCGCTTAGGGATTGTTGGCTGTATAGAGGGCGCAAGTACCGGGTAGCTACAAGTAGTGCAGTCCCGCTTTAAAGAATTATTTACATGTACATAATTAAACACAAGATAAACAAAAACTATCAGATTGTATGATACATAAGAAAATCATTTTAAAAAGTACAAAGGCGAACTTTCCTTTGAAAAAAAATTAAACAATCTAGGCAAAAGAATATCCAGATAAATTACTTACTGTACATATCCAGTTGAATTACACGCCCTGTCCTTCAGGATTGGGTACTTCATTGTTAAAGCCCTCGTCACTTCCTGATAATGAATCTTTGTGGGATACCTGAAAAGTTTCAAAGAATTTGAAAACAGCAAGAAGAAAAAAATTAACACAGATAAAGGGAGATTCCCAAAAGAATGATTTACCATATTTTCGTACAGCAAAGTGCAGCACTGTACAGTGCCAGTGCAGTGATGGTATGTGGTGGTGGCTGGTGCTTACATATGTATATATTCATCTTAAATCTGCTTTGGTCAAAAGTGGATTATCATTAACCGCCGTCTCAAATCAAAAGAAATTGATGCAATTAAAGCCAATTAATAACAAAGAGGCAAGCCAATAACTTAAATGCACTAGTAGAAGATATGTTAGCATAAATAGTTGGAGTTCACCCGTATAGGCCTTTACATTATTTGATATAATACTTGAATTGGGACTGCGTAATACCGTATTTTAATCATCTTAATTAGTTTGTTTTTCTCCCCGCAGAGACAACCATCTTTCTCTCTCCCTCTCTGTCTCTCTGTCCCTCTACCCTCTCTACTCTCTCTCTGTCTTCTTCTTCTCTTTCTGCTGTTTTTACCCCTTTATTCACTCTCTCTCTCTCATTCTTTATGTATGTACCATTCTCATCTTGTCATTCTGCTTCTGTTTCTGGTTTGTTTTTTGTCTCGTTAATTGTTTGTTTTTATCGTCTGTCATGTCTTTTCGATTCCGTAATTTTTGTCCAAGATTAAGTTATAAATGTATAAAAATGTAATCATCATTGTGCAAACCTACACCTAAGAAGCATTGCTTTCAAGTAGGTTCGTTTTTTTTTTCTTCTTCATTTCCTGTAACCAAATAAATTTGCATTACAAAGATATTTCAAAACTCATTTCTGTTATATACGTTTATTATTGTCTGTCGATGTTTATATAATTTGAAAAGAAATGAAAAATAAATTTGCTCTGTATAGAGCAGCTACTACTACTACTACTACTACTACTACTACTACCACTACCATTATCAAGACCAGACTCTTCAAAAATGACAATCAGAGGTGTCGCTAAAGAGGGGTGTGGGGTGCAACATCCCCCCCCCCCCTCCATCAGGACTGTGTCGGTAAAATTGCACTGCCGTCGGGAAAATGAAAAACAGGGTAGAGATAAAATGAGAGGGAAAGAAAAAGAAAAGAAAAAAGAAAAGGAAAAGAACAGAAAGAAAGGAAAGAGAAGAGAAGAGAAGAGAAGAGAAGAAAGAAATATAAAAAAAAAAGAGAACGGAGAGGGGGAAAAGAAAAAGAAAAGAAACAAAAGAAACAAAAGAAACGGGGAGATGAAAGAGAGGAGAAAGAGGGGGTAGAATCATAAAAGAGGAGAGGGTTGGAGTTAGAGAGAGAGAGGGTTGTTTGGTGGAGTCGTCTCGTCGAGGGAGCAAGAAAGATACGCAAAGATTTGTTGCTTTGTCGAGTCAGCTGTGTCGGTATTCTCGCTCGATCCTCGTGTACGATATCAATGCAGAAGTTTGAATTACTCGGTAAGATGTATAATTTCGGACGGCCTGCGAATTTTGTTTATTTAATATTCCGTTTTATTTTAACAGAGTAGCCTCGTCAGTAATCAAAGTACTGTTTTCCAGGGGGCCCTGAAAACAATTGCAACATAACAATATGAAGATACAAACTACTTGAACAATATAAACAATATGAACATCAATACATGGTAACATATAACAGACAATAAGGTAAGAAGTCAATACGAACTGTGACTTTTTATCCGCTGTGACGACTTCGAGAGAGACTATAATACTTGTATTTTCCCGCAGTTTCACCAGCAATCATTACAAATCATTGTCAAATGGCATTGTAAACCTTACTATAATATCAACAAAAGAACACAGGAGTCCAAAAATCGACATATCAGGTATCGAACCGGAGATATATCAAGCGCAATGCTCTTACCGATCGGGCCACAGCGATTGGTGTTCACCAATTAATGTTGCACATTCATTTTATATAGCTACGATGCTGACTAGTCTTGACGAAATACACCGTATATTTATGAGGTCGTGGAGGATGACCATAGGCACATGCGCAGGTATAGGAAAATTAGCCCCCGGCCCCGGGGTTATAGGGTTAAATTTGTAGACATTGATACATTGGCATTAATATATTTGCCGGTAATTGGTGGCTAGGTTTGTCGGTAATCGATGGCCTCTACACCCCCCCCCCCCCCAGTGAAAAAGGTCTAGCGACGCCCCTGATGACAATGCCATCCTCTATTGCTACATTACCTTATATTAATTGTTACCTCATATCGCTACAGCATCGCATATTGTTAAAACATTCCATACGACTGTCCAAAGCCCATTACCCTCTACTGAGAAGTTCAGTGAATCTAACGAAGGGGTTCTCATTGTATTTATTTGATGCTGTGAAAGGGCACAGCTGCTTTTTTATGTTTGGAGATAAGATTACCTAAGATTCCTTACATCAAAGTTAGGTATACACCCTCATTGAAATTAATAATATCTGGAAAAGTATAAAGATTAAAGATGAAGTTTAGTTCTGGTCATGCGATTGCATTGTGAAAGAAACGGTGTGGAACCGACAAGAAAAGGTTGATCATGTAGCATGTAAGTATTTGTGTGTATTGCAATGTTCTGGAATCATCGAAATGATAAGAAATGTGGCCAAGTCTTGGTAAAGTTACACACACTTGCACAGAAAGATGTATATGGGACTACACGAACACGTGGCGTAAAAAGACGGGCCCCCCCCCCCCCCCGATTTTTACGATGTTACATGCATATTTAGAATATGAAGGCATTTGAAGAGCCAAGCTTTTCAGGGAACATGTCTTAACTGATGTTCTTCCACACTTGCATAATAAGAATGAGTAATGCTCACAAATTATTTTTCACCTCTTCCCAGACTCAACTTTCTCTTTAAACGCGTCTTTCATATTTGTTAGCGTGATTGCGAAAATCATTAAAGGATGGTTATATTTCAATAATATTAGCAATCAGTTAAAAGCGATGATGGAAACATTCGTATGAGTACTAATTAATAGTAACGCAACGTCACAATATCAATCAAATAACCGTGGGAGATTAATATAAGCATGCGTTTTCCATGTATGACAATATCTTGTTAAAAATCAACTAACTGTAGGGCATATAGTATTTGCGCTATTTTATTATGTAAATAATTCTAGGGTCGAATCGCACCATACTAAACGTAAGAACAAAAGTTTAGCAACGTCCTTAGAAACTGAGGTTGATTGATATGAGCATGCACTCTCTGTTTAATGTACGTTAAATAATAGTGCATCCCCTGACGCTCAAAGGAGGGGGGGGGGGGTGCGATATTTCAAGTTTTCGAGGGCAATACAAAATAATTGGCCTTTAATACTACCACAAAATATCGTTGGGACCATGTTTTTTGTTAGTGTTGAAGTTGATGTTGTTGTTGTTTTTTTCTTTTTTTTTTTGTTTCTCACCTCTTTTTTATTTCTTGCCTTTTAAAATTCAAGTTAACTGTTGAGAATAATCGAATTAATAATTTTCATGCAAAAGTGTAATTTGGGAGTGTCCAGTAGGCCTTCTTTGGTGAATCGATCAAACCCAATCTATGTTTCAAACCTCGGTGTTGGATTTGTAAGCTGGCAGAACCGTAAAAACTCACACAGTTCGTAATGATAGTACAGCCGTGGATTCACTATAATGAGTTTATTTAATATTTCAAACTGTGTGCATGCAGGTCTGATTCTATACAGATCTCTATAGTCCATTTAAATTTTGGGGCGCATTTCATTACAGTGGACGTTGGGGTAATATTATATTATACTTAGTTTGTCACGAAAAAGGATCACCTTACAGCGTGGTCATGGTCTGAGGGCGTCAATCTATTTATGGGCTTATATATCGACAACACGTATAAAGGAATAACGAGTATAGCATGAGAGGCTGGCACAGGTAAACAATTGAAAATTTGAAAAAAAGATTCTGATTGGTTACTATAGTCAACCTTGTTACCAATGTTTACAGGTAACGACGATCCTGATTGTCCACCACTATTCTATAACGTGGTTGTAAACCTGCGTGATCCCGTGAGAGAGAGAGACAAGCAAAAGAGTCCTTCATTAGTAGTAACCACTAACTGACACATTACATTTTAATTAAAAATGCTGATAATCATGGAGATCATGCATTTCCCAAAACATGTCATTTTATCAAATATAACACGAGTAAAGTTGCCCTTTAAAAACCAATTGCCACAGTAGAATGTAGCACAGGTAAATATCTGACCCAAATACTTAAACAAATAAGTAACAGTCAATATAAAACTCATATAAACCAACACGTTCACAAACTTGAATGAACCAACACACCAAGCTAGGTTTGATAACCTTATCATGTGATCTCTATATCACTACTTAATTCTTGTTCAATAAGTTATACCTTTAACGTGTACACAGAGCCCCCCCCCCCCCTACTTGTTCAAGTTTCGTAGAAGTGCCCCTTTTTACATTGGAAAAGTGCCCCTTTAACTCTAGAAGAAGCGCCCCTTTTTACAAAAATGTGCCCCTATTACTTTGATAAGTGCCCCTATTCATTTTTTAAATCGCCCCCTCCCCTTTCCACCTCTGATATTTGCCCCTATCATTTTGACACGTACCACTTTTCAACTGACAAGTTCCCAGTTTCCTTTGCAAAAAGTGTCCATTTTCCATCCTCATAAGTGCCCTTTTTAATCTCTAGTAAAAATGCCCCTTTTCGGGTACGAGAAGCGCCCCTTTTCACTTATGTTAAGCGCCCCCTTCACCTCTGATAATTGCCCTATTCAAATCTTAGAGATACTCATTTTACTTTGACAATTGACCCTTTTCCTTTGTAAGAAGTGCCCCTTTCTCTTTTAATAACTTCCCCGTTTTTAACTCAGATAAGCGCACCTTATATTTTCGCATGTGCCCCCTTTCCTTTCTAATAAGTGCCCCTTTTCCCTATGATAAGTGCCCCCATTTAAAAAAGAGCCCTTTCCCTTCTCATAAATGCCCCTTTTCACGTATGAAAATAGTCCTTTTTCATTATCATACTAGTGCCCCTTTTCATGTCTGGTAAATG